CCAAAATCGATCTCAGGAGTGGTTACCATCAAATCAAGATCCGTCTCGGAGATGAATGGAAAACAACTTTCAAGACCAGAGATGAACTGTTTGAATGGTTAGTCATGCCTTTTGGACTAACTAACACACCCAACACCTTCATGAAGCTCATGAATCATATACTACGCCCTTTTATTGGTAAATTTGTTGTGGTATATTTTGATAATATCTTGATTTACAACAAATCTATCACTGAGCACATATGACATATCAAAGAGGTATTGAGTGCATTAAGGGAGAACAAACTATATGCTAATTTAAGGAAGTGCACTTTTATGAGCGTCAATTTGTTGTTCTTGGGGTTCATTATAAGTAAAGACAGAATTAAAGTGGATGAGGAAAAGGTGAGAGCCATTAGGGAGTGGCTGATCCCAACAAACGTCACGGACATAAGACGTTTCCATGGGTTAGCAACTTTCTACAGGCGATTTATCAAACACTTTAGTAGTATTGTAGCACCTATCACTGAGTGTTTGAAAAAGGGAAAGTTTCATTGGGGAAAGGAACAAGAGCAAAGTTTCGCCCTCATAAAAGAAAATTATGTACCGCTCCTGTCCTAGCACTACCAAGTTTTGACAAACTATTTGAGGTTGAGTGTGATGCCAGTGGAGTCAGCATAGGGGCCGTGTTGTCCCAAGAGAAGAGACTAGTTGCCTTCTTTAGTGAAAAGCTGTGCGAAGCCAGGAAGAAATGGTCCACTTATGATAAAGAATTCTATGCTGTTGTTAGAGCATTAAAAACCTAGGAACATTATTTAATTGCTAAAGAATTTGTCCTTTACACCGACCATCAAGCTCTTAAGTATTTAAGCAAGCAAAAACAGTTGAGGAACGATCTGCATGCAAGGTGGTCTACTTTTGTTGATAAATTCCCATACAAGATTGTGTATAAGGCTGGACAACAGAACACAGTGGCTGATGCCTTAAGTAGGCGTGTAGCCCTCATCAAGACTCTCAGTATTGAAATTGTGAGCTTTGAATGCTTGAAAGATCTGTACGCCCAGGATGAGGACTTTAAACAGGTTTGGGAAAAGTGCATGAATCGACAACCAGCAGGTGATTTCTACATACATGATGGGTTCCTTATGAAGGGGGACCAACTGTGCATTCCTTGCATCTCCCTATACGAGAAAATCATCAGGGATCTACATGGGCGTGGCTTAGTAGGACACATCGGGAGGGACAAGACGATTGAGGTTGTCAAGGGGCGTTACTACTAGCCTAAATTAAGGAGAGATGTGACCACTATTGTGAGTAGGTGCTATATATGTCAGACAGTTAAGTGACAGACCCGTAATACTGGCATCTACATGCCTCTACCTGTTCCAACTGCGATTTGGGAAGACTTGTCCATGGATTTTGTGTTAGGCTTACCGAAGACTCCAAGAAATATGGACTCCGTCTTTGTAGTGGTTGACCGATTTTCCAAGATGTTTCATTTCCTCCCATGCAAGAAGATCGTAGATGCAACAACGACAACCAAGCTATTTTTCAGAGAGATTGTCCGTTTACATGGGGTACCTAAAACCATCACGTTGGACCGAGATACGAGGTTCTTAAGTCACTTCTGGATGACCTTGTGGAGACTATTTGACTCATCATTGAATTTCAGCAGTACAGCTCATCCACAGACAGATGGACAAACAGAGGTAGTGAATCGAACTCTAGGTAACTTGATCCGCAGTATCTGCAGGGAGAGACCGAAGTAGTGGGATTTTGCCATAGCACAGGCAGAATTCGCCTACAACAACGCAGTTCATAGCTCTACAAGTAGATCCCCGTTTTCAATTGTATATATGAAGATACCTAATCATGCGTTGGACTTAGTGAAGTTACCCAGAGTACACGGCCTTAGCACTTCTACAGAACAGCTGGCAAAACAGATCCAGTCAGTACAGGAATAAGTACAACAGTGAGTAGAAAGGACCAATGCAAAGTATAAGACTGCAGCTGATAGGCATCGCAGACACCAAGTGTTTGACGTCGGTGATGAAGTCATGGTGTTCTTAAGGAAGGAACGCATACCCGTGGGGAAGCATAACAAGCTACAGCTTCGAAAGTACGGTCCATACAAGATCATTAAGAAGATCAACGGCAATGCTTACATAGTGGACTTGCCAGATCACATGGGTATCTCCAAAACTTTTAATGTTGCTGATCTTCATTGTTACTTACCGGAGACAACACTTGCATATCCCAATCATGACTCGAGGTCGAGTTCTTTCCAAGTGGGGGAGAATGATGAAGGGCCAGCTCACCACCCAGCGACAGGGTTGGCTCACCAACCAGCGACAACTCACAACTAGGGAGGATCATGCATCATCTAGCGAAAATCATGTACATGATAACAATGACAACTCCATGCAATGGATAACACTGGAAGATGGTGGCTATCGGATGATGGATATCAAAAGCAGCCTAAGGAGGATTGAGGATTTCGACAGTGGCTAGAAGACCAAATGTTTTAGTTCTTTTACAATTTTAACTTTCTTAGTTATTCTATAAGTCTACCAGATGTATTATAAATATTGTTGTTCTGAGTTCATAGAGGATACACTCAAGAATATTATTTTCGCCACCTTTTTTCTCTTTCTTCCAAGGCTTATGCCTAGCCTCACGTCAGGCTTCACGAACGAAGCCTCGTGTTCGTTCGATGCGTGCATCGTCAGCCCAGTGTAATGCTTCCATGCTGCGTCAAGTCTAGACTAGTCCAATTCAATATGTCTTATTGGCCCGTTTAATCTATTCATTAAAGTCTTACCCTATAACCTTTCTCCTAGATAATAGCCTTCAAAGTTATGCCTCAAGTGTTCTACTACATAATAATTTACAAATGAACAGTTTGCAATTTTTAACCTTAATAAAGTAGCACGCACTTGATGTTGTACTAATGATTTTGGAATGTAATTGTGTTTTGTATCTACATTGCCTAGGGAAATAATTTAATGTCTTTGAAAACTCTTTGTTTCCTATGCCTCAAGATCTTGTAATAAAGTTGCATATACCATGGAAAATGTTGTTGTCAATTAGGAAAGTGTTACTAGAGTTGTTTAAGAGTTGGGGGCCTTATTTAATTGTACTAATGAGTTAGTTATGGATTTGTCTTAATTTTAAAGCAATTATGAGTTTTGTTGGGTCAATTTCCCAATCTAAATTGGAGTCTAAAAAGAGACATCCAAGTTAGTAAGCTAAAGCCATGTTTGGTTAAATATTCATTCTTTTTCTTTCTTACCCAAGATGAAATTCTAAGATGAAAAAAATGAGTAAAAATGGAAAGAATGAGAAAATATTGCTACGAACCAAACGCTTTTTTTTCAAAATATGATTTTTTTTTACGACAAGAATGAGAGTAAAATTTTAACCTGTTTGGTTATAAATTTCATTCTCATTCATTTTTTTATTAGTCAGAATAATAATATAAGGGTTAGAAGTGTAAATCGTGCTGTGTTGGGTCCACGTAAAGTGCAGGTTGTGTCGTGCTACCCTTCCCTGGGATAACTTGGGGGTCGGCCTGGCACGTCCCACGATCCAAGCCCGTGCAGGCCCATGCCGTGCTGGCCCGTGGGCCAGGCCGGGCCATGGACTGGGCCAAAGCTATTTATTTAAAAAATTGAAAAAAAAACTTAATATTCTAATTTTATATGAATTTTGATATATATAATTGCTTATATATGTTGGGCCGTGGGCGGTACAACCCGATTTACACCTCTAATAAGGGTGTCAATGGACCAGTTTTGGATTGGCTCCCATGCAATCCAAAATCAATTTAGACGAATCAGACAGACCAAAAAGACATATTGGAACCAAAATATTTATAAGATTGGATTGGACCATTCGATTTGTCCGTAATAAAAATTTATATTGGATTGGGTTGCATTAAGCCAATTGATCCATTGATATAAGGTAAGAATATAGGTGCCGATGGACTAAGTTTGGGTTGAAACCAATCTAAATCAAAATAAATTTGAATAGATTGAATAGTCTAGACATTGAATTGGACTGGATCAGATTGGACAAAATCCAATCCAATTGGCACCCCTACATAAACACTCGATGGCAAATATATATCATGGAATCATGTGGGCCCCACATCAATAACACAATATAAAAAGGACAAAAAAAATTTGAGAAACTTTTATAGTTTGTTGCATTAAATATATATATATATATATATATATATATATATTTAATGAAAAGAAGCAATGTATACCATCAAAATGAGTAATATAAAGAAGTAATACAACACTCTTCCTCACACTCTCAACCCAGTCCCAATACAAGCCAGGAAAAAACAAACCCAACAATGCTTTAGTAAATCGGTCATGCTGCCATGGTGGATTATGTGATAATTTTACATAACATAATAGTTCTTATTTTGTCTGCTAAACGAAAGATTCTGTTGAAAATTGGTGGACCTGTTTTAGTAAATACATGTATGCTGTTACCATGCCAGCATTAAAGTTCAAGTGGGTGTATGGCCTACCGTAATTAGGCAAATAAGGTAATCTCTATATGGGTATTAAATAAAAGCTAGCTTGCATTTCTTCTATTTGTTTATCTATTCTATCATTATATAAAATAAATACTTGATTATATAACCTTACTTTATATCTTGGACCTTAGTTGCACGTGTGTTTATGCCTGTATAATTGCTCATAAAAATATTACCCACATCTACCCATATAATATTACAGTCACACATGGAAAATATCTCATCCCCCAAGTTGTAACTACAATAAGATGCATCCAATTATTGCTGTCTGAGTTCTCAACTTCACATGGACCTGAATGGATGCCTGTAAAGCACCATCTATATCAGTCGACAAACTAACAACCTTCAGGGTCATTTCCAGGAACCTGACTGCGTATGATCCACAGACAAACTGGCTAATGGGGACGAACTGATCCAATTATTGCTTTATTATATGCACCACACTGCTTGTTAGTTACTTGAATGTTTTGCCTTTTGTCATTTGGGGTTCCACCAAAATTTGCTTTCCACAAGCTTTTGTACAGGTCGCTAAAATGAAGGCTACAAAAGTTAGGTGAAGCCTTTATGAGAAGAAGCAAATATCTATACAAGTGAATAACAAAATATGCACCACTGTTATTTTATCCTTCAGAAGGCATAACCACATGGAAAGTGGAAACCTTATTGCAGAGAAAAAGCTTTAGAGATTGAAGCTAACCTTTCTTGATCCACCTAGGAAAAAAATAAGAAATTAAGATCCATCACTTACCCCACTCAAGTCTTTGTAGGGACAAAGACAGACGAGTTGTAAGGCCGAGGATAAAGTGCAGGAGACATAGGTTTGGTCTGGTGGAAGAGTAAGTTCTCTGCATCAAATCCTAAGTGTGTTCATCCTTTCTCCTTGGATGGTTGTAGTAGTAGCTGTATTTTTCTAAGTTATCTCAAAGTGGTGTTGGTTATTTAAAATTTTTCCAAGTTATAGCCCAAAAGAAAGGCTTGCCGGTTGCTAGCAAACCAACCCCCTGCCCCTACTCCAGCAAAAGAAATCTGGAAGGAAATGCTAAAAAGTAAAAAAGAATCTACAGGTGGGCAAGGTTCAAAGTATCGAAACACCCTGATAAGGGGGACAGGGCCATCTTTTTGTTGTACAACTATCAAAACCACATCAATTCCCAAAACTGTAGAGCCTCCAGGCATCCTTTTGTTAAATTGATGTCAAAAGCATATCATGCATGGAGCTCAATCAAAAGCTTTCAACTCCCAATTCATCTCCTTCAGTGGTTTCAAAGTTCCAAACCTCATTTCTTCAAGAGAAAGAAAAAGAATGAACCTCTGAAGGAGAGCAAAGAGCTGAGTTCTGCTTGAATAACCCTTTCTACATCAGAACTACCGGTGGACATTCCTCATGTACAAGATGGCCCCATTTCAAACCAATGAAACTATCAAGATTCAATTGTATAGACCCTGAAAGAAAGCTGGGGAACACTGAGAGTGGTCAGTCTCAAAAGAGATAAGGCTGATCTCAGCAATAAGATTATCTCTCACAGTACTATCTGCGAAACAACCTTTGAATAAGTTTACAACAATCACTCAAGGAGGTACCTAATATGATCAATCCAATGATGTAGGCAGAATGAGCCTGTATCTGTAAAGTACAACCATTAGCAATTATTATTTCATTAATAATTGCTATAAGGGCTTCTTGGCAAGGGAAGGTCATTCGATCCTTTTCATTTTCTTGTTTCTTTATGATCAGAGAGAAAACAATATTATACTAATGAGTATAAGATGGGCCAAATGAAATCCCTATGCAAAAGAAATCCCTCCAAAAGTATAATTATGCACAAGCTATACATCAGAAACCACTGGATCAACAATTATACCATGCCAATCATTAGAAAAAAATAAAAACTCCAAGAAAATAGGCAATCAAAAGAATACTTCATTCTCATAATTGATGACCAAAAAGATAAGAGCCCCTAAGTTTTCTCAAAAACCTTGAAGACCTAACTGAATACACCATAAAGAATAAGCTAATATGCTGTTACAATGTTGCCAAATACTCCAACAACAAATGCTGCAAGGTTCCACAAAGTTTATCCCCCTCCTATAGTTTTTTTTTTTTTATTGGTATCCCCTCCTATTGAATTTAACCAAACAAGTCTGAGAAACTAAGCCAAGTTGCTTAGAATGATCCACTGGATTCTGAAAAGATTAAAAAAATGCCACCAAATTTGCAGGAAGCACTAATAGTTTATCGTGAGATGGGAGGCATGACCTGTTATTTGGAATGGAAGCACAAGTATAGAATGCCTCTCTGAGTCTATGTCTATCCATAAGCTGATAAATGGTGAGACTTTTATTGACTACATTCATCACATAAAGAATAAGACCTTGGATAGGATATGTAGTCACCATACCCAATTCAAATATATCAACTTCCCAACCACTCAAAGAAAATATCAAGACGTCATGAAACAGACATGTTTTATTGATCTTCACTACAGCCATTAGCATCCACATCCC